AAGTGCGAGAAGAGGCCCTTTTGCCTTGACAATAAGAGGGTCGATCTTTAATGCGCTCTCGATGATGCACCCTATACTACTCGAATATGGGACGAGGATGACGATGACGCGGTCTCTCTATGGTTTGCTAATTTTCACGGGGGTTTTAACACCGTGACGTTAGAGCCGATTAGATCCCCGACAATGTGTGAGTAGAGAATTTTCGCACTTTCTCCTCTCTCTTTCTTTCATTTCTTTTTTCTTTTTACTCCTAAATTATTCTCTCTTATTTTATATATATATCGCGATTATTATTTCTGCTCGATTATATATAAATCCCATTGTGTATGTGTGTATTAATGTATTTTTTTTTTGATAAGGTGAGACAAGCATTTCAAATGATAAGCGCAGGTGTATCGACACACCTGCGTAAACTACAGGATAAGAGAAATCGCGTTTTACCATTAATCGAGTAAGAGATTAAAATGAATAAAATGAATAAAATATACTTGAATGAAATGAAAAAATTTGTAAAGATTATTTCTATCTTGTAAAACCAATTCCTTAACAAAAAATCTCAACATTTATAAAAAAAAAATTGCAGAGTTTTAACATCTAAAGGTAAGTAATATCTTATTAATTTTTATCAATTCTGTACCTTAAATACTAGTTTTAAGACGTGAGTTATAAGAACGGTTCGGTGGCTCAGTGCTAGAGTCTCCGATTCGCAACAGCGGTGACCCGGGTTCGAATCCCGGCAGTTCGTGAAAAATAAAATTAATTTTATTTTAAATAAAATTTATTCGGCGTGACGTCACGACAACGGAGAGTGTTAGTTGGTTGCTCGCTGAAGTGGGAGAAGAAAGAAGGTGGGAGGTGTTACGGGCAGGGGGGTGTGTGCGCGACGCGATGCTACACATTCGTAAAGAGAGCGGGAACGAGAGAGGAGTGTTAGGTTGGCTGGCGACAAATGGTTCTTTTGGTTTTTTAATGGTGGGAAGAAAGGATGAAATCGCCGTGTAACCACTCTCTACGTATCAACAGAAGAAAGAGTAGACCCAATCATCATCATCATTCTGCTCTTGATCAAGATTATCAGGTAATTATCTTTTTCCATTTTCCTAAATTTTTAATCAAGTCATTGCATAACATTTTTTTTTCTCAACACTAATTAAATTTTAAA